AGATGGCAACAATTGAACCCAACAACAGGTCTACATGATCATCAAATCGATTGGAGTTTCTGGCAAAAGTAAAACACTCGGCTATAATGCGTCTACATTGTAGCTGAAGAAATTGGAGAACAGGTGAAAGCAAAAACTCAGTGGCTCCCGATTTTCATGAAATCAAGATTTTTATGATAACAAGATGAAATTGAGGGGGAAATACAGGTAGGGACGGGGGTCAGAAAAAGCTCACGTAAGGGGAGGATTAATGATTACAATTCTGATTAAAAAACTGTTGAAGGGCAATGAGAGAGAGATGAGTGCAGACAGAGAGAGTCTGCTGCTGCTGCTGCTATTAATGATAGAAAGAAATTCCAATTTTTGCAAAAAAATCAGCTGCGAATTGTTTTCAGGAAAATAATTAGTCAACATTTAAGTTTCTTTTTTTTTTTTTAAACAATCTATTTCCAGAAATTGAGAACACAGTGACTGAGCCATTTTGCATCTATTTCGGGCTAAGTTTATGTGAAAAAAAAAAACTTTCATTTGACCAAGTTGTTAGAACCAATTTCAGAAAACAATTTAAAGTGAGCATTTTTTTTTTTTTTTTTTTTTTTTTGCACAAATCAAGATTGTAAAATTAAAAAGGGTTTTGCAACATGGACGGTGGTTTATTTCTTGTCAATTTTGAATGTTTGTTGGTTGATAAAGTTTCGTATTTTGTGTTGCAATAATGTACTTAACATGTAATCATGAAAAATATTTTTAGAATCTACATTACTGATCAGTTTGACATCTCGCCACACCTATAATTATATGTACACAACCAATTTCTAGCCACTTTTATGTCTTCAAAGACAAAAAAAATTAAGTAAACACCAAGATTTTTTTTCCACAAGAACACCTAACATTAAAAAAAGGTTAGAACAAGTTCCATTCAACAATACTTAAGCAGAAATCAACCGTTCCAATAATTAAATTTCCCAAAATATAAAACTAAAAATCTTTAAAACTTTACAATACCCAGCCTTCCAATTGTTTGTGTTCTTGTTCAACTATAAAAAAATCTAATTTCAGAAAAGTATTGTTGTTTGATAAAGAAAATTTGATGTTTTGCTTGTCATATAACAACAATTTTAGTAGAGTTTGACTTCTGAACAAGCAGTAAAAAATATCGTTAACAACTTTGATTAGACGTCCTGGCTGATATTTAAAACTTAGATTTTTAAATATTATGAGAATTTCTAATCTTTATGCAAAGCTTCAAAAAAAAAAAAAAAAAAAAAAAAAAAAAATTGAGGTTTTAGGTCAGGGAATCTGATATTAAGGAAAATATCCTAAATTTAAAATGGCAGGCACAACACACACTATTCATGAGATTGCCATTCACCTATTTTTACAAGGATATCATTACTTTTAGTCTGAGAGAGAGAGAGAGAGAGAGAGAGAACAATGTTTAATTATCACCCAAAATATGGTTTATATCATTTTTCTTTTTTTAAAGTAGAGAACAGATAAGAAAGAAAGAAAGAAAGAGATGCTGCTTGAAAAGCAGATGTGCACTGGGTTTTGGAACTTGGCAAGGAGACAAAGTCAGTTTCTTGAGAGAAGCCAAATAAACAGACAGCTAAACCAAAAATGAAGTGGTGGCTACATCACTAACAGACCTGTCCCCAGTAGAGACTACTTTGGGAGTGGGGATAAGCCAGGTTGGCAACATCTACTACATGAACAGTTTAGTGATGACCAAACTGTAGGGCCATTTTCTCTTTGGTGAAGGGAGTGGGGAGAGGTTCCAAGATGGCCGTTTAACAGCCAGTAACAGTTGTGGTTATAAGGTCTGAGGTTAGACTGAAGGAGGGGGGGGGATGCTGGAAAAAAAAAAAAAAAAAAGAAGAGAGAGAGAGAGAGAGAGAGAGAGAAAGAGGAAGATGGTGAAACTAAAAGAGAAAAAAATGCCAGGCCAGGTAAAATGTGGTGTGGTGGTAATTGTGATGTTATCTTTGGTTATCATGCCCAATTAATACTGGAAGTCTTATTTGGAGGAGGAGGGGTTTGTGGCATTTGAGCCTGATAGAGTAGAATTGAATTTGTAGAAACAGACAAGTCTCTTTTGTTTTTCTTTATAACAAGTAATTAGAGTCACATTCTGTGTACAGAAAAGTTTTTTAAAGTTATTTTCTAGCACAGAACCTGCTGATTGCTCATTCGAGTTGATTGCTAGTTAATGAGTGTATGTGTTCTTTTTGTTTTGTGTCTTTTTTTTCTTTATCCAACAGATTTTGTCTCCACTTTTTAAGCGTATTGGGGCAGTAATGCAATACACCTCTTGAAGGTTGTTGTTATTTGATGCCAGCAGTGGTGACATGAGGATGGCAGCAGTGGCAAATACCAAAGTGAGGCGACAACATCCTTTACAGCCGATGACGAACAGATTGTCAGGAAAGAGCGACCAGTATGTATGTTAGACAATCATTGTCCATTGCTACACAAACCTGCCAGGATCCAAAAGTTACTTTTCGTCTCTTATTGCTTCCTGTCCTTTTAGTCTTTTCTTTTTCATTTAAAAAGAATCCTCGAGAAATAAATTAAGTTTCTTACATTTCAGTATTTTTTTCTTTCTTCTTTAAATATGTTCAATTTTTTTTTCTTTTTCCAATTTGTAAAGAAAAAAAATGAAAGACTTAGGGTCTAATTTTTGTTTATTTCCGTGAATATTTGTCTTTACTTGCTTCAGCTGGTTTTTCTTCGGACTTTGTATGCACAAATTAACAGGGTCATCTACAAATATAAAGAAAAGAGAAAAGTCTAACATCGGAAATATAATTCAATTTTGAAATCAACAGTTTGCAATTATTTGCATTCAACAAGTGAAACATTCTTTCAAATATTAACATTTTTATGCCACTATTTTCAAAAGACACTAGTTTTAAAGAAATATAAACAAGATTTTAGCAAGAAAATTTATTTAGATAAGTGACAAAAATATTTAACAGTGAAAATCAAGTGCATTAGTGAAGAAACTATGCTGATACATAATTTAATAGCTTGTGACAAGTGAATACACAATGGAAATTTAGTTCCGTTTCACTTACCCTTGCATCTGGTTTGGTTTCAATTCGCAGGGTGTTATCACCATGCTTGAGATTCCTGAATGATGTCACAAATTTTGATGGCTGAGAATTGAGGGTAAGAGAAAGAAAAAAAAAACAAAAAAAAAAAAAAAACAGGGTATTTGATTAATTGATGTGGTGCCAATGGCATTATCAAATCTTATGTTTTTTAACACAAGCAAATTTCACTGATCTACTGCTGTTGAATTCTTAGCAAAAAGATTAAAATTGTTCTGGTTTCAGATTTTAATAAGTTACATGAACAAACTTCATCAAAGTTGCCTTTGTAGTATCAGTTCAGGTTATTATATAATTGTATAAGAGTTGATAGTAAATCATAAGCATAGCATAAGGCTTTAACAGTGAAGAGAGGAAAATAATTTGGAATAGCATTCCTTTTAGCATATTTTCAAACTTGAAAAATAAAAAATCCACCTAAAATAATCTTTTGACATATCTTTAATAACAATGTCTTAAATGTCAAATTTGAGAAATTTATATTCTTTCTTTGCTGATATTGGCACACAAGTAATTTTATTTCCAACAATCAATAAAACCTTTTAGCAAAAGAGAAATGTCCACAAGATGTTGACAATTAATACTTACCAATGAAACTTGTTTTTCTGATCCTCCGTTTAAGTAAACATTAGTAACAACTGATTCTCCCTTTAATCGACATCCAATATGTAGTGCCCCAATGTCATTGACATGAACAAGGAAAAGTAGGTAGCCCTCATCTAATAAAGAAACGAGAAGACTAACATCAAAATCTCATTTAATCAAGTAGCAACATAAAAATTATTTTATCTGCATGTAGTCATTTTTTTTCCTGGAACTGTCAAATGATTGAAGAGTGAAATGCTTTATTCTGAATATTCAGTCAGACAAGAAGATGCTATAGCTGAAGTTGGAAAAAATACTTTACCAATGATGCATTCTCAATTCACTATTAATGAATTTAATTGAGGCTCATAAAAGGTAAAAAAACAAACTTGTTAGCAATGTTAACAGTGAATCAATTTAAATATGCATCTTACTGACTTTAGTTTAATCTGAGAGTGCTAACAGACAGATCAGTTGGAATACTTACAGTGTTCACATTCTTGTTGATAGTGTCTGAAAGAGATTTGTATTTTTCGACCTTTTGAAAGTGCCATGCACTGAGTGGGAAAAACTTCTTCCACAAGTTGATGTTCTCCTTTCAGCCACACATTTATACAGTCTTTCATTTGGGTCATAAACCTGAGAAATACCAAAAACACACGGAGACAGTTTTAAAAAACAATTTACAAGTTCACTTAGAAATTCAAAAATATTTCAATAAATAAACTAGTTCTGAAAATAAATCGTGTAACTTTTTGCTGTATTTTAAAGTCTCAATTTAAGACACGCGTAAATCCTTTACAAATATTACAATGCGCCTGTTTTAAACAATATGCATTTTTATAGACAACTTAGAATCATAAGATTATAAGTGTCAAGTGTCACAACACAACAAGACCTACACTCTATTTAATGAATCATATAAAAAGCTTTCTAGGACCCCTGTGTACAAATGTAAACGTATACTAATCAGAATACTGAAAACATTGTAAAAAGAAAGAAAATAAAAAATGATAGCAACGTACTTATCATGATACATGGTCAAAATTGCTTGCATGCCCTGGAGACTTGGATTCGCACAGACCAGATCCAAAACATTAAAGTTGTCTCTGTTCTGGAACCCCATATTAGCACCATGGTCGAGCAGCAGTTTCACTATCTGAAGGTTACCACTATAAATGGACTGGAAAATAGAGAACAAACAAAACACACAATTAAAACTTAAAAGTAGAAATCAATTAATCCATTTTCAAGAATTTACGAAGAAGTCAGGGACGCAGACAAAAAGTGAGGATCTATTTCAAATTATAAACATGGCTTTTATATATTTTATGACAAAAAAAAAAAAAAAAAAAAAAATTACCCTGTCACTAAAATAAATTCAACATCAGGGTGAGAACCTATTTGCTCAGATTAATATGCAATTATGATAGGAAGTTATGGGTGTAAATTATGACAAAAAATTCAAAATGCTGTATGGAAATATGAAACTCAAGTGGGTGGAATTATACACTTACTTTTATTAAAGCGGTTTCTTTATTTGATGTGTATTTTTCCAGGTTTGCTCCCAATTTGACAAGTACTTCTACTGCTGCAACCTCCCCCTACAAGATAAAGAGCAGATATTGAAATAAAATCTTCAAAAATAAAAATAAAGTGTTCTGCATTATTTTCCTTTTAGTATTCATTGAAAAAAGATTGTATTGAACAAAAAACTTGACATTTTTTTCTTCCATATGCTATCAAAAATAATCTCCTACAAAAAAGCTAGTTTATTCAAAATTAAAAAGATTAAATGTTTCTTCCAGCATTTAATCTTTAGCTTGTGAAATCATATACAATTCTATTTCTACTACATAAGAGCAATTAAAATCTTGAGCAATGCTAGAATTTATGGTACATTTTTTGCACCTGATCACTTCTGTAAATATCAATTTTAATAACATTTAAAATGAGGCATACTCAGTAATGAAACCATTTTATTCTGTGCCACTTGCTTTTTTATTTCAATCAGGAACCAATTAGCGACTTTCAATAAACAAAATTCAGCATTGTTCTTTAGGATTAATTTTTGCTATTAGAGCCAGCAATATATCATACATTGTTATATATTAGCAACCTACTTCAAAGTGGAGAAAATAACCCGTAAACAATTTGTCTCAACAGTGTAGGTCATAAATCTCAATATAAGAATGTGTGTGTGTGTGTGTGTGTGTATATATATATATATATATACACACACAACTAGAATAAATGTGCTCTTTGCAGTAGGTTTTTTTTCCAAAGCTACAAATACCATAGCAAAATGGACAAATATATACTATTAATAGTAACAGTGAGAACATATTTAATATTCAAAGAGTAACTATTGGCTGTTATGGTATTGAATGTTCCAGAGTAAAGTTTGGAAGTTTTTTTTAATAAATCAACCTACATCAAGTGGCCAGGAAAACAGGCACTTTGTTGGTCAATTTATTTGTAAAGTAATATTCAATCCAATATATAGCAGGGGATGTTAGACAATCTCTTCACAGATAAGGAACAGATTTGAAGCCACAGAGACCACCTGCTATTGATGCAGAGAACATCATGTAACATGGTCAGAATATGCGACTAATGTAGACATTTTAAAGGGAATAGAGACTACAAAGAAACTGATAGCTACAAACAGAAAGAGCTGAAATTTCAGTGACACATGAAGAAAGAAGTATTGGAGAATTTAATACCCACAAGATATATTGAAGACAAGAGAAGCATGGGGAAAATGGGGAGTAATTGACTTGACAAGTCTGAAGGAATTGATGACAGCACAAAGATGACAAAGAAGGATAATAAAGGGGGCGAGAGAGAGCAATATTACCCCACATCGCAGAACGGCATAGTATATGAAAGAAAACTTTATATAAAAAAATGGATAATTTGAATTCTTTGAAATTCAAGATTTCATTAAAAATTGGATGATTAAAATGTTTGCAAAAAAATCTTCAGTAGGTTTAAAGAACTTAGACTGATTCTGACCTTGAATGGAAAAAAAAGAAAGAAGTTTCTTGGTTAATTTTCAAAATGTTAACATACCCTTGTACAGGCCAACATCAGGGCAGTCTCTCCACTGCTCAGGGATTTGTCCAGTTGAGCACCAGCAAGTGCCAAGAGTAACGTTATGTCACTAAACCCTGGAGAGTCAAGAAAAGAGAACAGTAGAAGAATGGAAAAAGAAATAGCCATTATTTTACAAAAATAAAAAATGAAGTAATCAAGAAAAGTTTTTCAAATTTAATTGTTTTAAGGGATCTTTAAAAAAAAAAAAACAAAAAAAACCAAAGGACCCCCCCCAAAAAAAAACAAAAGCAATCAATTAAATTATCAAAAAAAACTTATCAAAAGATCATTTCTCAACTAGAACAGTGATGCTAATTTGTAAAAATGTTTGAAAAGTCCCTTACCTCGCAATATTGATTGCATGATCAAAGTGTAGCCATCAACGTTTGGGGATTCCAGATCATAATGCGATCTGTCCCCCCTGAGGGCAGATTTTAGTCTCTCATAATCACCTGCTAAGACAGCTTGAACAAATTCATCTGAAAGAGGCGCAAAAAATTTGGTTTGTTTCTTTTTTTTTTTTTTACACTGCAGAATCCATATTAAGAAATTGGAGATATGCTTAATTTATGCTTATCTAAATTGGAATCTGAATAAAAAAAAAAGGTATATCAGAATTATTTACTTACAATTGAATGATTCTAAAAAATTGTGGGTATAAATAGAAGACTTAATAAGACTTCTAAATCATTGTTTACTTATTTCACTTTAGTGATGATCAAATGTTCTATGCTATTTACTTTGAATTTAAGATACAGCAACTTGTACATGAAAATCAGGCCAAGTGTTGCTTTAAGATTATCTCAACTAGATTAAATCATTTTGTTCAGGATCAGAGAAAAGCCAATTATCATTCAGGCCAAACAGATTTTCAAAATGTAAAATAGCCATTTGATACTCACCTTTACTGATTTGAATGACATTGTTAGATAACCTGGCTTTTTTCACTGAGGTAGGGGTTGAACTCTGTAGAGAAACAAAAAGAATGGATTTCATGGTGGAATACAACAAAAACTTATTAATGGTAATGACAGAAATTTACATCAATCCAAGTTGAACAGTAAGATTGCAGGAAAAAAAATTCAGATGATTTGTCAAGAGATCTTTTTAATTTGTTAAATCTTGAAAAAAAAAAAAAAAAAAAAAATCCCACACTTACAATTCAGACATCATCATCAGCTGTTGTTTCCACCTACAGCAGATTACAAAACAAACATGACTTATTTTCCTGCCATTTATTAGGTTCTTCAGCAAGCTTATTTTCACAAATGGGTGTGACTACTAAATTATATGATCTCTCAAATTCCATTTTGGTTTTCCCCTACTTTTTCTAGGGACCCTAACCTCAAGACAATTTATTGAGTCCTGTACTAGATCTGCATCCAAATAGTTTCAAGGATTAGCCATGGATCTCCTACTTTTTCTAGGGACCCTACCCTCAAGACAATAAATTGAAGAAAGAATGCAAATCAGTTCCATTTCTAAAAGTAATTATTTTCACTTTGCTAGCAGATTGTGATCTTTGAAATGTTTCAAATTTCAGTTGAAAGTCAATATCACCCAATGTAAACCAAAAAAAAAAAAAAAACTGGAACTGGAAGAATGTATAAAAAGTATCATATATTTTATAGTAGAATTAAAAACTGCAAATCCTAAAATGTTTACCTGTAACTTATGAGGTGGGTGCTGAAAAGAGATCGATTACTGGAACAATTATTGTATGTTATAAAATTTGTGACTTTAACCCAAAACAACTCACCTCGATGTTTCTTGACCGATCAAGACGACTGGAGCAAGAACAAAAATTGGTCAATTCTTCTGCTGTACAGTTATCAAAAAAATCTGGAAATAGAAAAAAAAAAAATATCAAAATTGTTGGCAAAACTGAAGATTAGAAACAAATTGAAAGAAGTAAATAACTTTCATGTTAAATATTTCCTTCAGAGTTCAAAAGTCAATGGGATTAGCAAATGCTTTTCTTCTGGAAAGAAAAAAAGTTGGCTGTAAAATGGATAAGTGAGAAAATGATAGTAATCAGAAAAATCAATGGAAGGGAGAAAACACCTTTTTGGAGTGACAATTTCTCAAAATTACACCATCTTTTCAATAGTTATGAACAGGAAAACTAAAATAGTTTAATTACAGATTTGGTGGAAGGGGGGGGGTTGTATAATAAAGACAAAAAACAAAAACGTATTTTCATTCCCTACAAACAAGACAAGTATTACAAAAATGGCAAGTTGAATTGAAAGAAAAAGTGCTGCAATAGGTTTTAATTTTTCATGTCTTTGAAAGATTTAAATTTTCCAGTTATGTCAAAAATCTAAGATTCATCAAAGTGAATTAATGAAAAACAGAAATCAAAGATTTGAATCCATTATGATGACAACTTTCAAGTCAACTTGTCTTTTCATTGGCCTAATGTTGTAGAGTGCGGCCATGCTGCAAAGTTTGATCTTTTTACAAGTGTTCTTCAGCAGAGAAATGTTTAGCAGAAAAGTATTTGACAATAACGAAATTCTTTTTGTAATCAAAGGCTATGATGATAGGAAAATAATTTTTCAATCTTCATTCCAACATTAAATACATAATTTTTAACAGAACTTTCTCTTTTGAAAGACTTGGACAAAATTAACTTTTTTTTTTAACAACTGTTGTTGCTATGGTCAAGACGAGAACAAAAAAGTTAACATTAAAGAAACAGCAGCTAATCAGTTGAAGGCAAACATTGGGTCTTTCCAATTTAAATCAAAGTGGATTATCAACTCTTATGAGATTTCAGTTTACAAAATATGTAATGGCCAAGATATTTGAATGGAATTTCAGATAAGAGCTGCAAACTCCTCATACTACTAAAAAACAATGAAGAAAGTGCTATTGAATTCATAAAGAGAAGTGAGGCAAAATTTTTTAATACTATTTTGTGTGTGTGTGTGTATATATATATATATATATATATATATATATAAAAAACACACACACTTCTATATTTATGATAGGCATTCTATATTTCAACTGGATATAGGGGGAGGGAGAGCCCAACCTTGAAAATAAAAAGCCTCAAGTTTTGCTGTTTAAAGCTGAGAAAATTTCTTTGTTGGTCTTGTTGATCAATAGTTTAGAAATTTTGGTGAGAGAAAGAATTTTGCTTATAATTTTAATTCCAAGTCTGTAGAAATAGTAATTCTATAAAAAGGCAAAATCTTCATGGGTTTTAGACAGAAATATTTTTATATATATAAAAAAAAAAAAAAAAAAAAACCCTCATTGTAAATGCACAAGTACCTCAACAGAAATTTATAATCTTATGTACAGAAATGAAGCTTGAAATAGAAAAATTCAAACAAATATCAATTTAGAATTGCAAAGAAATGTCTGTCAGACTTGTGACTGAACAAGTTTCCCTTGGAATTGCACTGTCCACTTAAAGTTGCACCTTTTCCCTATAAGAACATCAAATCAGATTGAAAACCTTTTGCTTACATCTCAGAAGTATTATGGAATACCAAACAAAGAAAGGTTTATGTTGAGTAAACCCACCTGAAGATATTCAAAATTTATTTGGGCTGTGTTTAATGGCAATTTTAATCTTTAAAGACACATATAAAGACTTGTAATTTGAGTCAACAAATCATTACAAGTATTTTCACAACAATGGTTTTAGTCCTCATAATAAGCAAAATAAATTTTACAGTTTTAAATTTAAGCCTTTCTTGTAGTAAGCAGGGGTTGAGAAAATATGCAATCTAATGACATTTGCCAAATTTTAGACTACACACAAACATGATTGATACAAAATAAAAAACTTGATTTGTCCAGGTAAAAGAAAAACTAAAAGACATCACAATCAATTTGTGTAGGATTCATTTTGGTTAAGAGTTATTCAATTTTAATAAACATCATGAACCCATATCACAAAAAGATAACATTACGGTTAATCTTGAAGGCTACATAAAAAAAAAAAAATAAAAAAAAAAATAACAACAACTGACTTGTAGCAATAGATAAACATTTTCCCTGGGTATGAAAACAAAAAAAAAAAAAAACAATTACTGTAAAATATCAAAATACTAAATCTGATTAGCAACAGTTATTTCATATTTAATGGCAGAGAGATTTTGTAATCAAGTAAAAATATTTAAAGTTCTCTAACATCATCTCATATCTCTTCAAACAGCTTCATAAAACACTGTAGTCAGTATGTTTCCCAGTTGTACATATATATATATATATATATATATATATATATATATATATATATATATATATATATATATACACACACTGAAGTGGATTCCAAATACAAACAAGTGTATATTGACAAGTGAATCAACTTTCAGTAGGGACAGCAAATTTACTGGATTGAAATTTAAATGACAGTTACCACAAGAAAGAAAAAAAAAAAAAATCTTTGGACTTGGCATAAAAACCTTGTTTTTTGCTTTAAGTGGCACTCTTCCACCGAGTGTCCCTAATGTCTGGACACATAGGAAATCTCATTAACTATTTTTACCTCCACAGATTAAACATGATTTTGTCAAAAGAACTGACTTCTTTTTCTGGGATATGCTAAAAGAAAAGGTATACTCAATGAAAATCAAAAATGTAACTTGATTGAATGCATAAAGAGTGAATGTGCTAAAATTGATGGCAATGTGGAATTATTGCATAGAGTTCACGTGAATCTTGCGAAGTGCATCAACCTTTGCATCACAAATCATAGAACCCATATTGAAGATGTTTTGTTAATATTCCAATTCAATAAAATGTTTTTGAAAATTTAAATTCTTGAAAATATTCATTTCTTGCATGTGTGTCCAGACTTTAGGGTCACCCTGTATTTAGAAAGAAGTGAAATGTTAAGAGCAGGATTTTCTTGGCAAAATTCATTTGCATTTAAGCTCTTTTAGAGATGGCAATGCAAAAACTGATTTTACAGTTTAACTGGAAAGCCTATTTTCTGAAGCAAATGCTTAAAGTAATGTAAGTATATGTACGAGGAAGAAACGTGGCATTCCATCAAACTAAAAAATACACATGATTAATGTTAATGTGTGTGTGTGTGTGTGTGTGTGTGTGTGTGTGTGTGTGGAAATAGTGTAGAAGTATCAGATTGAAAGAGCATTACATGAATTTAAGGGTTCAATCTTTAGTGTTAGGAAAAAGAATCATCGAAACTAAAGTTTGATAAAAGACAAAGCCAAACAAACAATTCTGATTAAAGGCATGTAAATAATTGAACAAAAAGATCTGTACATTTGGTCTTTAAAGAAAGCAGACATTTTTAAAGCTATCAAAGTGATATCTCCAAATGCAGCATTTCTAGCTTTCACAATAATTTGGTAGGAAAACGCCAACGTTTTGTTACAATATTGCTTAAAATGAAATTTTGAAGTTTATCCATACACGCACAGTATAATAAATGCATAAGCACATAAGTATGTTTGAAAGCAATTTTAACACATACAAAAACAGCTTTTGAAATAGACTTGACTAAGAAGCCCTTAAAAACCTGGTCAAATTTTAGAAAATGGGTTAGGGTGAGAACTTTTTACTAACAATTCAGGTCTGTTGGTACCACTTTACAAGATTTAACATTAGGTCACTTTGATCTTCCTACAGACTGACATCCATACAGATCACCCTTTGCAATGGTGCAAAATGAAGAAGCAATTACCATTAATTTACAGGTGGGAGGGCATCTTTGAGTGTTCCCAGACTCCTAAAATAACCTATGCCTGCTTGCCCCAATATCAAAGATTGAAGTATTTTTTTTTTAATATTGAAGGCCTCAAATAGAAAAACATAAATGACTACTTAGGCACTTTTATATTACTCTCATACTGGTTCTTTGTAGAAACAATCCTTAAACCAATTGCTATGTGCCCTATTCTGTGGCAACCAACATACCAGAAATCTGGTGCAAGATTATTTCCTTTGAGTCTGGAAACACTCAAATAGTTTTACCATTCAACTTATTGGTAATTGCTTTATTCCATTTAAACTTACAGACAGGATTTCATAGGAACACACTACTTTCAGAGAGATTATATATATATATATATATATATATATATATATATATATATACACACACACACAGTGTTATACCTAAATATTATTTATTTATTTTTTTTTTTTTATTTGTGCAAACCTATGTATGAATACATAAAGAGGTGGGAAAAATAAACATTTATCAAAGAAAAGACATCTCAATGGTACTTACTTCGTACAATCTTATTCCTGATGGAATTCAAAGGATTTTGAAGCTTCAATAGTGCACTTATTTCCCACCTTGTAGGATTTCCTAAAGAAGCTTTGTTACTGTTGCTATAGGAACCAAATGACTGATCAGATAATGTATATCCACTCATTTGGCTCAAATGAATAGTCTGCTTTATTTCTGAATTTGTTTCTGGACAGGTTTCTGGGGTAGATGAACACGGTTTTATTTTTGTAGAACACCGTGTGTCAACACCACTTTTTTCATCAGTTGGAGTCTTTAGCTCTGTACCAATATCACATGGTAACACCAATTGGCAGCTCGATATCGCAGAGGTTTCCAAAGGCATTAAAACCAATTCAGAATTGACAGGGTCTTCTTCAAGTAAACATACACTTCCAGTGTCCTGTGGGGTCATTGAACGGGAAACAGATACCGTGGATGCAATGGATTCCAAACCTGGAGAATTACTATCCATCTCTGTTTCTGTTTCCGTTCTCAGACTTGACACTCCGCTGTCAACGCTACTCTCACCCATTGCAAAGATATTGCAATTGGATTTCTCAGGTGGTAGTAAATTCATTGTTGACCTCATAGTCTTTTTAGGGGAAGTACGTATATTCTGAAATTTAGTTTTCTTTCGTTTTGATGAATAACTTATAACTATGTTTCTGTTTGGCCTCAGCCGAGTCCTCCTTTTCTTGGCAAGAGAGTGAGTGGGATCCTTTAAGTTCTGAAGTCGTAATGCTGAGGATGGCGACGAAGATGGTGAGGATTTATTATCACAGTCACAATTTTGACTTGAAGTATCACCTACAAAGAGAGAGAAAATAGGGTGAGAGAGGGAGAGAGAGAGAAAAAACTAAGAGAGATAGAGAGAGAGAGAGAGAGAGAGAGAAACAATGGAGTACTGATGCACAACTTGATAAGCAATATTGGTAAAATCAGTTTTACTCATGTGACAAATTAAAAGCAATGTCCCAGAACTTTTTTTTTTTTAAAGATCTGTCACAAATACCACTGCCAAACAATTGTTTAAAAAAAGTCACATTTAAGTAGAATTATTTTTTGGCCATATTTGCAAAGCATTGATAGTGCCTCTTTTTTTTTTTCTTAAATATAAAATTATACTTCCTATACCACGTATTACATATAAAATTGTGTATTTGGAGAAATGATCCCTCTTTTATACAAATTTAATTAAAAACAACCAACAAGTTATTGTAGTTAATTTTAAAAAAAAAAAAAAATTTTTCTTTGTTCCTCTAATTTTCTTCTTTTCTGTATGTAAATATAGAAATTGTTTGAATGTTGTGTGTGTGTGTGTGTGTGTGTGCTCGGACATACAGAACATTAGGATAATTCCTAGAAAAAATAAAAATAACTGCAGTACCTTGTCAGTAATTTTTAATGAAGAGTGTGTGTGTGTGTGTGTGTGTGTGTGTGTGTGTAAGTTTCCGTCAATCTATTTAATTGAAATCCATTATATTCCTTTTATGCATGAGCAATCTGAAATTTCAAGATATCTGGTTTTCATAGACATTAAAAATTTAGTTGATGGATAGGATTCAATTATTTAGTTTAAACTGTTTGGGCTTTTAAGGAAACCTTGTTTTATAACAACTTTAATGAATTAGAAAGTTAATAGAGATGTTTATGTTTCCTGAAGGAATAGATTTGAGATACAGGCAATTTTCTATTTTACTGTAATATTGTGAACAATGTCAAGTTTGGACAAAAACTTCAGTAATAGAATGGATCAAATTTCATTAAATTAGCAATTCCCAACATTTTGGTCAATTACTTTCCCCTCTAACAAAGCAGTTTACATTCCCCCATTCAACTATTCCCATTTAAGACATACTAAATGTTTTTAGTCAAATATTTTGGGAAAGAAAATCAATGTAAAACAAAAACAAGAAACTGTAGATGTTTGCATTAAAAAAAACAAAAAAGAAAAAAAAAAGATGAATAAGATGAAAGTTGTTAACTTGATCCTATCATGAACATTAATGTTTATTGGAATAAAAATAGGGTCTGTATAAAGCAGAAAATACACAACAGAAATATCAATTACAATAAACTCCAATGTGAGTGAGAGAGAGAGAAAAAAAAAAAAAAAAAAAAAAAAAAAAAAAAAAGTATTTTAGTAAACCACTAAGCTTACAAAATATCTTTACATAAAAAGCAGGTAGCCTTTGAACTGATTATCCAACATGAACTTGTGAAAATTTTTATATCACTATTTTCAGATTACAGACTAAAATTAAAGAAAATTAGTTCAGACAATCTAATCAGAGGCTGAAAGTTTTTAAACTTGGACATTAGCAAAGCTATTCCTGCAATAGAGTAGATATGTCTCATTGAGTTGGCCAAAACATCCATTCAGTTTATCAAGTTGGGGAAAGAAAAAGTTTTATTTCTAAAATAAAATTCATTGGACAACATATTTACTGTTTTTGCCACCATCCTCTACCATCTTTTGATTAACTTCATAATTCCATCCTACCAGAATTTTGTCTTAAATTTTTTTGGTACCTCTTGCAGTCTTCTAGGGAACTGAAACCATCATTTCATTAAGAGAATTCTATAAAGACCGGAATAAATGGCGAGTCAAAGATGAAAACTTTTCAGACAAAGCTGTAACAGTTTTTGATTGATCAAAGAAATGTGGTATAGCATCATGTTGATTAGACATTACACTCTTCTGGTTGACTAATAATTTTCATCACTTGCAGCCTTTAATTTGGAATTGCCTATTTTTCTTGTAAGTACTGCCTTTCAACGCCACCCACCCATCCAACAGCATCAGTCATCTTTGATACAGTTAGGGTGGTTCATTTCACTTGCCTTGTGATTCCTTTCATCTCACATTGTTGTAAAGCATTCACTTTTCATCATGTATCAGAATTTGTAAAAAAAAAAAAAAAAAAAAAATGGAGCAGCAAAATATACAGAAAGATATAACCCAATGTTTTTTTTCTTCCCTCCTACTTATGTGGCAGCAACTAACATAACCAAAGAATTATTTTGGATACTCTATAGATGTTGACTAACTTTTAATCCCATCGAATATTCTCACTTAAATGTCTTTAATTGGTCACTATCAGTCTAACTAGGCAATCTAACCATGAAGGAATATTCTGCTCAAAACTTTCAAAACCACTTTTGACACATTTGATCATTCATAGAACCTTCTCCACAAACTGTACAAATCATTTTTGGTGTTAGAGAGTTAATTTTTTTTAAAAAACTTTTTTTTAAAAGAAAAAGAAAGTTTATTTTCTTTAACCGTCAATGTTTAAAATCAATAAAATAAAATAAAAATTGACAAAGAAAAAAAGTGAGCCAATATGACAGCTGTCACAATATGATCACCCCCTCCCACACTTTTAAAAAAGTAAATTAAAAACTAGTCTCCACAGTGTACACTTCTTCTAACAAAAACAGAACGAACTTTCTGGCCAACCCAATACTAAAAAACTAAGCTAACCACGTTCTCTTGATCAAGTGAAATGTCTTTGTCTTTTGAAAACCTCGGGATAAACAGTCGTGTAATTCTCTTACATAATATTTAAAAGATTGATAGGAAAAACAGAAAGAGCAACTTACTGAGAGAGGTGATAATTTTAAATGCCATAATCTGGGGCCAGTAGTCAGTAGTGTGAGTAGGTGGATGATGTCCAGCATTGTTACCCGATAGTGACACTTGTAAACGTAAGGTTTGTGGAGGCATCAACAATGTCGTCAGCAGTCGCTTTTTTAGGAGAAAGAAGACGGCGAGAGAATTATTATTCGTTTCCTCCTAGTCTTCATCCCTTCCATCCGGCTTTCAGTTTTGTCGCATGTGTTTGCGATTTTCTTACCAGATAGTCAGCCAGCCAGCCGACCTGATGATGATGATGATGAAGACGACGACTAGAGGGGGGGAAACGATGATACACACACACACACACACACACTACACGCAAATAATATTAGCAGTTGTTGGAACAAATAAAACTACTACTTCCATCACCACCATCACCAACAAGTGGCCGTAGTAATATTATTACTCATACTATTATCACTACTACTCTAGTAGTAGTCGTAGTAGTAGTCGAGAGTGGTGGAGATAGTAGTAGTAATAAGAGTAACGATCTAAGTCACATTGATCCTACAACACAGCCTTCTCTTCAAATAATAATAAGTTGTAGTAAAAGATAATCGACTATTTCACTTTTCTTTTTAAGCAATGGACACGAACACAAAACAACACATGCAGCCAAGTGTTTCAACTTAAATGGAGACAAGCTTACAACCACACATTAAAAAAAAAAAAAAAAATAAAGATTTTTTTTTCCCCTTGTCCAGAAAGGCTAAAGTCGTCGTCGTCGTCGTTGGAGGAGGAAACTGAAATTGAGCGAATATTAAGTAGTAGTCATAGAAACGGATCCTTCTTCAGCTACTGACGACACTTTGACTGGGTGACGTATTGTTGTTAGACGAGCAGTAGCAGCAGCAGCAGCAGCGGCCACCACCACCACCAACTGCAACACCGACGAAGAGGGAGGAAGAGGAGGCAGTGAGGAAAAGGAGGAGGAAAGAGAAAGAGTAACGTAGTGGAAGGAAAGGCTACCTAGAACTTATCTACCTACATAATGTAGCTTTCTATTTATCTACCCGGATGAAAGAACAGTGATTATAGGGAATGGGAGGAGGGGGTGGGGAAAGGGGGGGGGGTATGATCCCCCCTTCCGACTCCAATATATATAAAGACTATTTTATTAGTCCGAAAGATAAGAGAAAGATATAACTTCGAATTTCAGTCATTTTTTTCTGGATATTTATTTTAATACTTTGACTACATTTGAGTCTTTTCTGATGAGAGAGAGAGAGAGAGAAAAAAAGTTTTGGTAAATACGACATTTTTAGCACATGTCACGAAGAATCGACAGTGAACGATGAAGACATGATGTCAAAAGTAAAAACAACAAAAAAACAAAACAGGTCAGCCAAAAATGGAGTCTTTTCTAAACAAAGAAAAATTAAGTTACGCATAAGAAATGGAGAAAGGAATTTTACCAGGAGAGGTTTGTACCATCATAGGGTGTCTTTTCTAACAGAAACTTTTTAGTTAGAGAATATTACACTATTATATTGCCACCACATTGTGTAGGAAAATGTCGAATGCAGTCATCCATGTGAAGCAAAAAGGTTATTATAGTCGTTTTCACATATATTAACGTAAACATTTGCATCCTACAACATGACTATTGGTGCTGCTACTACACAGCTCTACTTGTACTGATAATAGTAGTGAATCACAACGAATAGGTGAAGAATTTCCATGCATTAATCTTTTCTTAGCCCCCCGCCTTCCTTGGATCCATCCACAATTGCAGTGGTTGTCTTTAAATCCAGGATCCTTTGACTGCAAGTGTGAGAGCACGTGGCGTGGGAGTGGCCCTGTGGGTGCGTGCGAAGAGATGACGACACGACGTGCAAATCCAAAAAGGGCCCCATCAACGAGAGAGACTGGATGAGGGGTAGAAAAAACCCTTGAGACTACTGCGGTCAACCTATATATATATATATATATATATATATATATATATATAAGGTCGACAGTGTCAGTAACGGGTGGGGGGTAGTAAAAAAGGAGGGAAATGAAAGCGGTGTGGGTGGTTTGGGCTTTTTCCACTTGCCGCACCTACTTTCAGATCCAAGTTCAGTAAAAAAATCCAATCCGATCAAACGAATTATTGGAAAAGACTAGAGTATTTTAAAATTAAACAAGTCAAATATACATTTTCAATATATTCTCATTTTCTCAATCGCCCACCCGTATATAATTTTAGTCTGCAATGTGCTGAATTCAGGAAAATAGAGAAAAAAAAAAAAAAAAAAAAATCAAATATAAGTACATAAATCACTTTAATAACTGCAATGTGCACCCACAACAAACAGCATGAACATAAAACAAAAGGTCTGTTTTTCCTTCATCGTTCAAGAAACTGATTTGTAAAATTAAAATTATTTTCAGAGTTACAACACTTCTTCCCACCCCCATAAGAATTAATCAATATCTCCCACCACCGTATACTACCATTTGAAATTTACATTTTGAATCGAAATTAAAAACTTAAAATTACAAATCATATACACAGAGAAAATCTCAAAAGGTAAATTGGTTGTAAAAAAAAAAAAAAAAAATTCCAAATGACCTCTGACCTAACCTTCTTTGACATTTCCATAGCGTGCTTGTTGTTGTTGTTACTGCTGCTGCCGCCGCCGCCGCCTCCCAAGTGTGTTGTGTATCTCCTGTGGTGGTGACAGAATTGTCCTGAGTCATGTCGGCAGGAAAACTTGCTGCTGGTGACTAAGCCAAACATATTTGTAAGATAACTCTTCATGCAAGGAGTGGGTGGGCATTTCTGGCAGCCAACTCAAGTAGAGTAACTACACCAACGATCATCACACAGTTGTGGAAAGGAAGGCGACGACGAGAGCTCGTTTTACATTTAGTTCCGGGTTCTTTTCATGCCTACGTCATCCACAGTGGGACTTAAGCAGGTTGATGAGGGTTGACCACTAAGGTTAGAAAGAGAGAAAAGCCAGTGTACACCGGTGTATCCCATGAATGACGTTACGTCTCGCTCGCTATGAACTTTGTTTGGCAATGGAAGTCGAGGACAAGTTTCCCTCCAATTATCCCCCGTCACGGTAGAGAGGACAAAAAACAACAAAAAACAGAAAGGGTGGGGACAAACAACAACCTGATCACTTGGAAAACGTGTAAAAACCGAGCAGTAACAGTAACACACACACACACACACACACACTCTGATGCACCTGAAACTAGGCACGAGGTGGAAAAATAACCCAATATTACTTGTTAAAAACAAGTTTTAGTAGTACATGTTCGAATTTAATAACCTTAAGAGCGAAAAAGCGCAATCATTTCAGGTTGAATGTTTTCGGATAAATTCACATTGAAATTTTCAGTATATGATTTGGAATTTTTTGGTGTAGTAAAGTTAGCGACAGAGTTATCTACCATGTTTCTTTCCCAGATATTGGCGGGAGGAGGCGAGGGGCATCGGATCAATGTAGAATTGACTGGCTAACCACCCCCCTCCCAAACTACGACTTCCAGTCTATACAAGTTTTGTTTTAAATGAATAGGAAGACAAGACTTCACCATTCATTCACCCACACACGTTAAGAGAAATATCAGTTTTTAATTTTGACGTAACTGGATTAAAAAAAAAAAAAAAAAATATGGAATAGGTGAGGATAGCAACAACAAAAGGCCAAGTTGTTTATTTACTTTTCTTTGCTATTGAGAGCCAAACTTCAAGAAAACTAAAAACACACACACACACATATATATATATATATATATATATATATATATATATATATATATATTAGTTCTCTTGTCTTAACATATACAGATAATCACTTCATTTTGTGTGTGTAATAAAATTGGCAAAAGATTTAGACAATTTTTGTTTCAATACCTACATCAATGATTTGTGAAAAATTCAAACGAGGAAAAAGTAAAAACAAAGTTTTAAATTTGCATAACTATTATTGTTATCCTCACTGTCACGCTGAGAAACTAATTGTTCACACCTGATACCCGATAAGCTTTTGTTTTCATTGGAAGCAAGGTTGATGTGAAGCAGAGAAAACTCGTGAATCAATAACTGGATAGGGGATACTACTGACTCCTCGCCTGCAGAATTTACCCAATAATACTAATCATAACTTCAATGGTGAGAAACCTCATTTTTGTTTCTATCGTATGTTTACATTAATGATGTGTGTGCCAATTAAGGTCAGTAAGCTTCAGTCTTGAGACAATTTCTCAAGTAATCCCAATTCAATTAAGTAAATTTTATTTTATTTTTAAATGCTGGTCAATTTACATTTTGTCATCTGACATTAGGATAATTTACTTTTAAAATTAAAAATATAGAAAACCAATTTTGATTGTATTCTGATATTTGTCATTATTAGCATGCATTTTGAAGATTAATGTCAATTTTTTTATTTTTTTTTTATTCTAACATTAAAAATTAACAGTTTGGGCAAATTATTGTTATTTTTTTATTTTTTTTTTTACAAAAGAAAAAAGTGCAGCTTATGAAGACTTTCCTGTGACTGAACATGTCAAAAGTAATTTACAAAATTTTGTCAAACTTAATCATTACATGATGCAGGAAATAGCTAACATCCATAAAATGTCATTTTCACTAGCTTAATTATGTTAGCTGCTTTGATGTGTGACTTCCAAATGAGGGGAAAACGAATTCATTTTACTTTAAAAGTAATGAAATGTTTCATCCATGTTCATGTAAGAAAAATACTTATCAGAGTCTAAACATTTATTTACTGAATGAATTTCTACCTGTGGAGGAGTAAACAAACAATCATTTTGTATGAAATATTCTCAATCCCATTTTCAAATTTAAAACTTGAAAAAGAATAAGCGTACAATTCACTGGATAAAAAGAAATGTGTAATGACTTCAGAGTCTGCAAAAGATAAGACAACATGTAACTGAAAAAGATCTTTGATAACTCTGGTGCCAGTATGTCACCCATCTGAAGATCAAGAGAAATTTTTAAAATCCTGAAAGTTCTGTATATTAAACCAAGATGCAAATCATGTAAGAACAAAAAAAAAAAAAAAAAAAAAAAAAAAAAAAAATTGAAAAT